GTTGAACGTAACAACTGTCCACTTGTTCCATGGTTATCAATAATCTCCCTGAATATTGTTGATTCATGACGATATCTAGCATTTAATATTAATCAGGTACTATAACCTATAATATTTCCCTAGGTCACCGTACATACCTAAGCAACTACGAGATAACTTTATACATACATCAGTTCATCTCGTCATTTGATGTACGGCCTTGTTCATAAGGATGCCAATCAATGAAGCTATCACGATCATTTGTCAGAATTCTGATCTTCTCACAGTCTTAGTGTTTAGTGAAGTTTAAAAGCCTACTACTAAGGTATAGCATGGATGTACAATTCCTATCTGACAACACTCTTTACCAGGACAGGGATATCCTGGAACGACGTGAAGAACCTAGAAGACCTGGATTTCGCGCGTGGATGATTTATGTTTGATGTCACACAAAATCGAAGACTTACAAACCAACATCGACAATCTGGTCGAAGAAGCAGCTAGCGAAGACAGAACTCTAGGTGAACATGGGCAAGATGGAGGTTATGAAAATAACCAACAACAACAATAACAACAGCAACATCCAGCGCCAATCCCCACCAATGGGAGGGATTTGAAAGCAGGTACTTCATTCACTTACTTATCTAGGGAGCATTGTCTCAAATACATGATGAACGGACGAGGATGTAAAATCGAGCGAGAATTGGGAAGGCGAGACACACATTCATGAACCTGAATCCAATCTGGAAATCTTCGTCACTCAGCATCAACAACAAATTTCGCTCGGAAATTCAAAACAAACGTTAAGTCAGTTCTTCTTTCTGTACGCATCAGAAACTTGGCGGGCGGGTAACAAAGAATATTTCCAAGAGCCTGTTGCAGACCACTAATCAACAACTGTCTTCGCTGGCTCTATACTGAAGATCAGATGGCCGGGTCGGAAAGAATCACCAACAAGGAACAATGGGAACAAACAAAGCAAGAACCAATCGCCAAACAAATATGCAGGAGAAAGTCGAGATGGATTGGACACTCGCTGAGGAGGGAGGCCGCTGGGTGACATCGCGCGCGCGTCAGGCCATTGCTCGATTGGCACCAGGCCGAAAGGGAAGAGGTGAGTGGGACATCACTGCAAGGGTGACATGGAGGAGATCGTGTGAAGAGGAGTTGAAACAGTATGGACTAACATGGATGCAGGTGATAAGTACAGCAGAAGACAGAAACAAGTGGAGACGTGCAGTTGAAGCCCTATGTCCTATTAGGAACCCAAGGGAACAATAATAATAATTTACCACCCAATAGATGTTGTAGCCCTTTGATAGCAGACATCTTCATGTCCAAATCTGAGAGAGCAATGTTGAAGCATGCAATCGACGAAACAACTTCCTATTGTCGATATGTTGACGACACATTTGTAGTGTGCGAAAATTGAAAGTTATGCTTCCTACCCACTCGGATAATTCACGGATGTATATACAAACAAATATTGAATTTACTATGGAAAGTTTCGTTTCCTTGGCATCATCAAGCAACGCCTGGAAGTTGGTAACTTCGAGAGGTGAATTTACCGAAAGCCGAAATAGAATGGACAATGCTCATATTTTATTCTATATCTGGGTAGTTGTGTGAGTTCTCGCGGAGGCGTGACCGATGAGATTTCCAACCGTATAACGAAGGCTAGGGTGGCATACATCAACTTCAGCCACCTCTGGCACCGTCGCGACGTTAGCCTGGCTGTCAAAGGTCGGGTATACAATTCTTCGGTGTGGGCTGTCTTGCTATACGCCTGTGAAACCTGGCCTCTCCGTGTTCGATCATCGCTGTCTCCGCAGGATTGCTTGCGTTCGATGGCATCATTGCGTGAGTAATTCTGAGGTTCGTCGGTGTTTGTTTGAACACAATGGAGATCACCATTCATTGAGTGTCGTCATCTGGAAACGTCGGCTCCAGTGGCTTGCTGTGAATGTCATCCCAGAGGCTTCCGTACAGGTCTCTGTTCGATAGCCCTGGGACGGGATGGAAAAGGCGGAGAGTTGGTCAGTCCATTACGTGGCGTCGTGGGTTGAAGGATGTTTATGCTAGATTAGCATCGGTTGGTGAGTCACGACTCCCTGGTTGAGGTCTGCGAGATAGCTCGAAACGTTATCGGATATGGTCAAGAATCGTAATCAATGGTCACGTGTAGCAATTTCCTTCTTTCTTCCCTTCCCGATGGTAGTTAACAAATACTGTTTGAACTTGTTAAGCATGACTGTTTTCCTTCCAGATGAAGTTTTACATCCGTTCTCTATTTATATTTTTTTTACTTTTAATAACCTATATTGTTTTATTATTATTATTTGGCGCATTTTTCTTGGTGCCATATTGTACCAAGTTGTTTTTCTGCGTTTAAATAAATAATAAACGTATAATATAATAATTTTTTTCCATATAGCACCAGTCGAAACTCTTTTCTGTAGAGTCATGAGAATATACTCTACAGAAGGATTAAAGTGGGAATTTGTGATACTTGAAAGGATGTCGGAAAAAACAACGGTTACCTCCAGAAATTCATTAACACACAAGTAAAAAAGATGTGAAGGTTCAAATGTCAAGCAAATTGCATTGGAAGAAATTCTATCCTCATTCAACCCGATTTTAATGGTGATAACGATGATAGCAAGAATAGTCAACAGAAGATTGAATACGTCACTAACAAGAGCCTTTCTCCTGCAGCTAATTTGGCTCCCATATATCGGACAACATGCTCTTTAGTGCAATCAAAAGTAGACAGGTACCCCTCTTCTCATGTGAGTATTCAACATTTACGTGTATTTGCAGCAGCAGTTACACTGAAAGAACAGAAAGAAGGGCAGCACACCTCCGATTCTCTGAACATGTACCATAAGTTCACATCTCAAGGGGAAGAATGCTTATAATAAGTGCGATTACCACGCATCTCCTTGATACGGCTTATCGGGTGGAAATCGCGAATTCCTTTAAGAACACCAATAGACAAAATAGGTCAGTTCTCCTCAGCTTTGCCGAAGTAATCTCTATCAAACGCCTCAAAACCAAATCCATGCGTTCAGAAATAAAAAAAACAGTTATCTGTCTTTCCTTGCCCGCACGGTAACTGAATTTCTTTATTCACTCTGTTTCATATGATTACGTGATCTCTAATGCTGACAAAATTCCATTCGGTATGAATGTTGCTGTTTGGAACAAAGTGACCATTATTATTATTATTATTATTATTACCACTGAATGAAAACACTGATTTCTTTTTTTGGTTAAAATTGAACTTTCTAGCTAAGTAGGTTAAAATTGTTTGTGTAGAAAAACTTAATAATGTCTTTGGGCTGTAAACAGCTAATAAGAAGCCAACGAAATAGATACTGTTAATATTTTATTCTGCGAGTTGTCATTTCAAGTTGTGACCACTAGTGGTGTCCGTCAGGGATGTCAGCCTATTATCCCCATTTCTTTTCAATTTCATCATAGATGCACTAATGGACTTAACCCTAACTAACTTCAGAGACTCAGGGATTGACTTATTACCAGGAAATAATCTCATTGACTTAGAATATGCAGACGATATAGTCTTTCTAGGCGAGGACGCTGACAAAATGCAGAGTCTTTTGAACACCTCGAGCTGCAATCTACGAATGTTTGGCATGTGATTCGCTCCCTTTGTGAAATGTAAGATGATGGTACAGGACTGGACTACACTGACTCCTAGATTAGAAATAGGAAGTGAAGTGGTAGAGCTGGTTGTCCACTTCACTTATTTGGGAAGTACCGTCAGCCAGTGCCAGCGGGTTGATCTTTGACGAAATCGCAGCACGGATAAAGAGGGCTAGTTTCGCATATGCCAGTTTAAGCCGTCTCTGGTGTCGACGTGATATCCGGTTGGCTATCGACCAAAGGGAGTGAATACTACTCATCAGTCCGCTTCGTCCTCCCTCATGGCTGCGACTGAGACCTAGTCATTGAGAGTGGAAGACATGAAAAGCCTGATTAGCTGTCTTTGATCATAAGTGCCTGCACTCTATCTCCCGTGTCAAGTGGTATAATAAGGTGAGCAATACTGAGGTTAGGCATCGGTCGACTGCTAGGAAAGGAGGGGAAATCAATCGACGAGACTGTGAAATTCTATCGACTGAGATGGTTAGGACATGTGTTACGTATGCATGCCTAGTCATCGCCTTCCTCAACGGGCAATGTTAGCTGACATAGGGTCAGGCTGGGAAAAAGCTAGCGGTGGTCAAACCAAAAGATGGCACCATCAGTCAATGAAATCTACAACAGCTAGTTCAAGCCACATGGGAATGGGTGGACTTCCTGGTTTGGATCCTAGGGTCGGTTTAAGACAATGGCTGGAAACAACTGGTGATATGGCTGGCTGAAAATCGTTCTCAACAGCTGGTGCAGATGCATCTACTTCTTGTGACTTCCAATGAAAGTATATTGTTCTTCGTTATTACTTTTACTTTGTCTCATACCTCTGTCTACTGTCTCTATTATGCATTTCTTTTACTTACTTATCTTGCTTTGTGTGCTACATGGAGTGTGGCGACTAGAACTGCCGCACATCGGTGCAAAGTTTCATGTCGAAAACAGGCAGATAGACAGCAAAAACTACTGTTGTTCTTACTTCATTCAAATATCAGATAACTGTTGCCTGCTTTTGTCTTGCATACAATTAAAACCACTGATAATTGATGATTAACTAACAATCACCTCGATTTGACACTAGTAACTAGAGTGATGTGTCTAGTCCTTTCTTCGCTGCAGACTGAATTCTATCAGTCAGGTTTGTAGTGTCACCACCATTCCAGGTAGCTCGCCATCACGGTGCACACTGATTTGATGATATTAGATGGTTGGAGGCAATCGGCACCAGGAAGCCTTGGACCAAGGTTTCCTGCTAGTTGGCACTCACCAACTTCAACAAGGCATATCTTCAATCACCTTGAAGGAACTCATATCCCTAGTGAGATTCGAACCCGCATCATCCAAACAATCATCTTCACAAAACGGGAAATCGATCAAATAGTATTTCGCATTCAACAGATAAAACTCTAATGATTTACAGAGGCTAGAATTTTATACGGAACACATAATTATTCTCTGCATAGCTGGCTGCTGTAGATACACCACCTTATTGATGAATGAATACTCACCACCGCAATGGAACAAATTCTACGCTACAAAATGGTCCAAACAAAAAAAAACAGGGAGAATATATTGCCAAATAATCCCCACTCTCAAGTAGAAATGTAAGAATAGATTGAACTCATCAATTAACAAGAATATAATGTGTAGTAATAATAAGTCAATATCATTGCCCTTCAGCCGATAAACAGACGGACTGCCGGATAGATGGTCAGGGAAGGGAAGGGGAGCGAAAGCAAAGAGTGGACTATAACACACGAATCAAGATTGGACAAAATTTGGCAAACTCTCTTCTTAGCTATTTCTCTTCTAGATTCGATTGTTTTCTCCTTGTACAGCTTTTTTCTTTAAAAAAAAATGGTAGTTTTATGGGAAAGCGATCACGCACAATGGGGCACCCTTAATCGCCCAGGATGATTAACACATACGGAGAAAAAAAAGAGAACAATACAGGAATCTAATCAATACAAAGGTGATGCAATCATCAAATGAGGAAAAGAAATACTGATTATTATGTTATTGAGTAGTACAAAAAATGGGAAGTAAAATTTTTAAGATCGACAAAATATACATTCTTGATTTCAACTTTTTCTAGTGAGCCTGCTAACAATCACACACAAACCAGTGTAGAATACAGCAATAATATAAGTATAAACCACACGCGATATCACAACACAATGAAAACTTGAAAGACATAAGGATTGTTGAAAAAAAAAATGAAATTTTAGTGAAAATATCAGTACTACTGCCACTAGTAATAATAATAGTAGTATAAGTACATGTAGAAATACTAGTGGTAGTTGTGATAACAGATCTTACCTAGACAATAGACCAACATGGTTAGAAGGCATTATGATAATTTAAAAGAAAAAAAAGGGAAGGTGACCAACGCAGGTAGATATATCGATCGAAATAGACAGAGTAGAGGAGTAACAAAATCATTAGTTAATTGGAAGATATTGTTGCATACAAATACCACGGCTACTATGGTGGATACTCACATGTACAAGTGACAGGAGAAAGAGAGAGATAGAGAGAAGGAACCTTTACCGGGAGGTCAACTATAATTGAGCACCACACAGTCAGTCAGTCAACAACAAGAAGAACATAACTTAAGGCGAAATAGAGAAACAGTTTGTCACAGAATAAAGGCAGCAGTCTAAACGATAGAGAAGAGAGGTGTAATAGAAATTATTGTACATTCAGTTACAGTATATAACGCCAGTAGCGTCAGTACAATTCCTCCTAGGCAAGGAATTGAAGCACTAATTAGTTAAGTTGGAGAAGAAGGTGTACAGGGAATAACACTCATTCTAATCTAAATCAGAATGTCGTCTAAAGTCTAAATGATGCATTGCTGAATTGAACAAAGAGTGCAGACGAAACGCTTCAGCCAGAACTAGATTAATATTTTCATCTGTCCAATGAAATGTTGGCAAATGTTGTAGTAGTACCATAATACCTTGAAAATCTCGTTCACGGCAGAGATCATTGGAAAATTGTAATAAAAATGCTGCGCATACATAAACATGAAAAGTTGAAAATCCACTATTCTCTGACTGCAGCAAAAAGAAGAAGAAAAAGAAAGAAAGAAAAGGAGAGAAATGATAGGAAAATGATCATAGTTAACTAGTAAATACAAAATACATCTATTTCTGCTAACCAACCTGGTGGGTTCCAAGTGGAACATATGGATTCAACAGTACATCTCTACTCAAGTGTTGGTTTGTAGGAATTTGATTGGTTTCAGGATTTCATCATGAGCTGACATTAGTTAGAGAACCATTGAAAAACCTGGTAATACTGGACAGCTGTTTCGTCCTAGTTTGGGACTCTTCAGCAGTACGCACCCACCGACAGGATTCGAACCCAGGACCTTCTGGTTAGAAGGATAGCAAGCTCGTAGACCATTAAGCCACTGGGACCTGATCCAATGAATTCTAACTTCTGCCAATTCACGACATAGCCCAACCGCTAGCCAATGTCTTCGACGAGTAGTTGTCCTCACACCCGACCTGCTGCACCCTATTGGTCACGACTTCTCTACATTATCCTACTCTCTGAGGTCCTCTTTACCTGGTCACACGATTGATTGCCCATAGTCTTTCATCTTCTCCCACTTTACACGATCTTTTCCATGTCGTCTTCGACCCGACAACCACTCGTCGTTTCCCATTGAGATTCTACTCGACGACTGGTCTGAGGAGACAAGTTACGATCTCCTCCTCAGTACGTGTGTCTAAACCATATATATACAACTCCGTCTACATATTTGTGACGTGACAGGTGACTCACTGGTCGACCTTACTACCATAGTTTGTTGTTTTTAATTCTTTCGAACTGGTCATTTGATCCTTCAGTATCCAGTCAGCGGGGGCAACTGTAGGTGGAAGCCTACACCTACCTGACTGTCAAAAATGGTTTTGATGACTTTTGTGCCATGCCTCTGAACAGCATAACCAACATGACACTAGTGTCCACATGGAGCCAGGTAAAGGCGATTGTGGAGAACAAAAAGGAACTGTGGAGATGTGTTGCTGAAGGCCTATGTTCCGCTGAGAACCTAAGGAAATGATAAAACTATCTGCTGTTGTCTGTCTGCTTACTCAGATGTAGAAGGATTCAACACTTAAGACTATCAGAAACCAATAAGGGTATCATAAATACATAGACGACCGTTTCGCCCTAGTTTAGAACTCTTCAACAGGGCGCATTCACTGGGGTTCGAATACAGGACCATTCAGTAGCTGGGACCTGACCCAATCCTGTGAACAATCAAAGCATGTGGGAAGTTATTACTACACAGTTGCTCACAACATGGACGTTCATTTCTTCTTCAACTACCTGAAATAGAAACAGCATTAGTACACTGGATGACTTCAGAGGCTAAGAGACAACTGCTTTATGCCGGTCACACATAGCTTATCTCACAAGTGGTTCTTCAATTTACGTCCATGTTAAAATCCTACCACCGGTCATGGACTGCCTCAAAATAAGTCGGAATGTACAGTTTTCGGGATCGACCTCTTCTAACCCCTTTGTCTAAAGCGGAGAAGCAGCATAACTGGCTTGCATTTGACCTGAGGAAAACATATTACTGCTGTCATACCCCTATTCGTCAGCAGTACACAACTTCGCCCACAGATCCCCAACATAGTGTAAACGGCTTACACTGCTTTTAGTCTAACTGCTACCCAAACGACTCTTATGGAATGGTAGGACCTTCAGGAACAATAGTTTCAACCAGTATAGTTCGTTAGGTTATTGTGATGTGCAAACCATCACCAACCACTACGTCAAGGTGGCAGTTATCGATCGGAGATGAGCGATTACTACGACAATGCAGACATACACACATATTGGATGATCTAATCTCCATCATCTAACTAAATACCTTAACGAACGAACTGAAAGAAAAACTTCATTCACACTTACCATATACGTATCCCATAGACGTATAATACACCGCAAAGGTAATTCACGTATTAATAAATTATTCATCCAACGAAAAGCAAATTGTAAAAATTCTACATCATTTTGTATAAAATGTTGATACAACTTTGTATCAACACGTTCAATTAAACTAGCCAACATTTTTACATTATTTTGTAGACCTGGTTGAGCAAATGTATAATTATCTTGTATTGTATCCAACAGATGAGATGTACACCAAAAAACATCCGCTTCAACTGAGGTCAGTTGGTCACTGGTTATATCTGATTGTAAGCTTAATTCACCTGATGTGTTTAAATCTATATAAAAAAGGGAAGAGGGAAAGAAACAGAAAGTCAATGATATATATACATGAAGGAGACAAACAATTCAAAAATAGATGCTAGTGGACAGCTGTTTCGTCCTAGTCCATGACCCTTCAGTAATCAACACCAGCAGCATCTTTGCCCTCCCTCCTCCCCAGGGATTCAATCCAGGACTTTCAGGTTACGAGGCGAGTTGAAAAATACATTAAACACAAGCATAATGTAATCCAGAAAGTTAAGTCAAAAACCTTTTTTCAATTCTATTTGCACTCCAAAATGTACTAAGGGCTTCAAGCTATAGTTTTCAAGTTTAGTTAGTGGTGGTATTGTTTTTTTTTCTTTTACCGAGTTGGCCTTCTAATCTTATGTCCCCAACCTTTCTCATATATAGAGTACGTTTTAGGAGGAGTGTATCGGTCAGGAATTGAAGCAGAACCACGTTTGTAGTAGGCGGACATTTCTACTATCCAACCACTGACCAATAATCCAACAAATAACCAATTAACAGCATTTAACTGCATAAGGCGGGGCTTCTAATTGTTACACTGCACTATAATAAATAGTTTGCTTCGGTCTAGTGTAAACAGGTCTGAGCCAGTTTTAAGTGACTTCAGTTGGTTCCTACCAGAACTCTCTTAAGTTTTCTAGCCCAGAAAAAAGAGTACAGAGTGGGTGTGCAGCTGGCGCCCCCACCCACAGCTAGCTAACTGTCTCATATATAAACAATACCTGTCTGTCTGTCTGTTTTCGACATAGAACTTTGCACAAATGTGCGGAAGTTCAAGTCGCCACATATAAACAATACCACCATTACTAAAACTTTACAAAAGTATACTACACTCATACTACACTCTAGGAGTGAACACAAAGGAATGATGAAAAGAGAAAAGAGTATTCAAAAACTTTTGTATTCAACTGGGTTGACAATACTAATGACATGAAAAATTTCTAATTTAACATGTAAGTAAAGACCTCTAAGTGATGCAGTTGTGTGTGTGTGCAGTATTTATGCAGACAAAAGGGCATTATATGAAGATATGTGGATAAAGTAGTAGTGACTTTCTTATCGCATGTGCTTAACATTCGTTCTACCCATCAACAACATAGTAGTATATGACAAACGTGAATACCAAGAGAAATTCTGTCGATATAATCATATTTGAAATAGTGCCACAGAGTGACTAATGTGTGACGAAAAGTCAATCCAAGAAGGTTGTAAATAACCAAAAGGTGGATGATTTTGATGTGGTTGTGTCCTCTGAGCTGGAAGGCAGTTAATTTACGAAGCTTTCATCGCCCTACTAGGTGACATCTTCGAAAGGGTCCAAAGGACTTATTGCAGCACTCCCACCTTAAGGAAAATTCAAGAAAGATATCTACCTCATGAACGTCTTCGAAAAGAATGGATATCCACGGAATTTCATCAAAAGACATATACCCTCAAGCAGCCTATCAAACAAAAAGCCCGCAAGGAAAGCACAAAGAAAATCGCCCTACCATATATAAAGAACATCTCGGAAATCACTGAAAGACTCTTCAAATATTTAGGAATTGACGTCGCACTTCACTCAGTTCTTTGTCAACCAAAAGACTCAACAGCGAAAGAAGATAAAACCAACATCATCTACAAAATAAATTGTAACAGCTGCGAGAAACACTACACTGACCAAAGAGACTACCCTCCCCTTAGTCTTCGTATCCACGAACATAAGCTAGCCATCAAAAGACATGAAATCCACTCCCTCGCTCATATCACTCACTGCATACAGACAACCACGGACATCAATTTGACTGGGACAACCAACGTTCGAATATTAGATAGAGAAAACAACAATAATGCTAGAGACTTTTTAGAAGCCTGCTTAGTATTCCAGTGAATCATCAATCAATAGATACCACATCGAGATAGACACAATTTATCAACTGATAAGAAAGAAACTTCACACACAAAGGGTCAAAGTTCAAGTCACAGAAACAATCAACACCAATACTAATACAAGTAGCCTAGAAGATGTGAAAACACACAAAAGCAATCAATCACGCCCAAAGTCACCAAGAGAGGTGATTAATAAACTCGTGGAGAAATCTAAAAGCTCACTTCAAATTGAAGTATGCGCTGAAGATATGTCCAGCACAGAGAACACAACCACATCAAAATAACCAACATATACTACACATATCATCGACTAACCAGTTTTCTTAACAAAAAAGACATTTTAGAGTCGATTAGATTTTAGACAAATAGAATTAATAATGAAATCAATGAAACTAAAAGACAAAGTATTCATGCATTCTGTGACTGTTGAAATGAAGCATGTATGCATGAAGATGTGGAAGGCTTATTCAACTAAGTTATCAAGATATCAAGAGTTATCAGTAAGAAGGAATTTCGATGACAGCTAAAAAAAGATTCACTAAGCTACAAATATTATATATATATATATATATATATATATATATATATATATATATATATGTATATATATATATTCACAATTTATTAAATCTCATCTCACGGGATTATATGTCCCTCGAGCACACACCATATCTTGATACTTCTTATTTTGTTAACGACTGTTTTCAGAGTGTTCCAAATTGAGTTAACACATTTCTGTGTAAAGTTCTACACTAGTTCGTTTTATAGATAGATATCTCCCTCTAAAGGGATGTTTATTTGAATAACGCATAAAACAAAAGTTTGTACAGAATAAAATAAGTATCATTCTTTATTTCGTTAACTTATCATCAGCTGCGTACAGTTTAAAGAAACTTTATGTACGCAACAATTTTACACACACACACACTTGCAAATGCTACATGATGTCAGTAGACAGAAGGTTCCAAACTTAAATAAAAAAACAGTGCTCAAAACTGTACACTTATTAATATTATTATTTCCTTTAATTCCTAGAGGAACATACGGCTTCAGCTGCACGTCTCCATTGCCTTCGGTTCTCTGCCAACGTTTTCACCCCGCTCCAAGTCTGCCCACATACTTTCATCTCCTCTTTATATGACCTCCTCCAAGTCACCCTGACATTGACGACCAACTCGCCGCTTCCTTTACGGGTTATACTAGAGCGATGGCTTGTCTAGTGATGTCACTTGATGATGGTTTCCTGAGAGTATGGCCAATCCATCTCCATTTCTTCCTGCAAATCTGTTGCACAATCGGTCCCTGGTTTGTTCGCTCATTGCCAAAGATCCCTGTTGCTGATCTTTTCTGACCGGCCATCTGATCTTGAGTAGTATTGAACGAAGACAGTTGTTGATGAAGGTCTGTAGTTTGTTTGAGGTGCTCTTTATGACGCGCTGGCCAAGTCTCTGATCCATATAGTGTAAGCACCTCTGACTTCATATTGGAGTTGAAAATCAGGATCTTATTTTCATTTTCACGCTGAGTGTTGTTGGCCTCCACACAGACTCAAGAGAAATGAAAGCTTGTCTTGCTTCACCAATCCTTCTTTTGATATCCTCATCAGTTCTGTCCACCTGTAGTTGAAACGATGCTCCCCAAGTAGGTAAAGGAGGTTTTTTTTTTCAGGTTTCTCCCATTTATGTTGATTGTCGTCTGTTGAAACATTACACTTATATAGTTTATAGCCAGAGAATTCAGGTTGAAACAAAACATAAAAGGTTGCGTAATAAAGACAAGAGGTGAATGAGATAATCAGTGACCAACGAATAAACTGAACAACAATACAGGCGAGTTCAGCTCAAATCATAACTTTAAATCACAAAAAAGTAATTTAGTCAAATAATAATAACGATAATGAGATGTTTGCAATCAATAGAAAAAACAAAAGTAAGGCGAGCAATTTGACAAGCACTATCTATCTAAATCATCAATCTAAACTTTACAATAAATATACAGAAATGCACAAAAAATGCTTCACTTGATAGAGACAGTAAGTATCCTCCTCCGTCAATCATCATCTATGCACATGTTGAACAGTACAACATCTTGATGACATGGAGTCGAATACAAACCATAATTAATGATATATTGGGAATAGAGCAAGCATTCAAGTTAATCAGCGCGAGCGAATTCATTACAATAAAAAGAAAGGCAAGTACAAAGAGATTGTTATTAATAAGATTATTTCGAAAAGTAATCATTAGGTTTTTAGGCTGACTGGAAGGTAGAGCAAAGTGAAATAATAATGCTTTGGAGTGCAGTACAGCTGTTGCTTTACTTAATGAAAATAGGAAACCCAGCTGGTATCTCAAGTAGTCGCACCGCTTCACCCCCTCTCATACATTCAGTATGACTATAGAATAACAATATATTAAGACCTAGTGATAATATACCGCATAGACAGCTATATGTTATGGAGTTACACAACAACTGACCGAAACTATCACCAAAGTGATAATCGGCAAAAAGGAAGTGCTGGTTTGGAACTCTTCAGTAATCTGAACTCAAGGTCCCACCATTAGGAGTGGAACACAATACCTCTCCAGGTTACTCGACCAGCTAATGAAACACAGCTAAGATCTCGTTAGCAGCTCAGTGTGTACGGGCACACAACTAGCTATTAGAGCACTATTCTCAACCAGCAGTGGGGTTTAGACGGAGTTACCTAATCCCTATATTTCTTCACCACCGATAACATTCTGGAGTCAGCTCTGAAGGAAAAGTGTGTTGGTGGTGATGGAGTAGATGTGCTTCCTGGAGGAAGTCTTTTCGACCTCGAGTGTGCAGACGATATCGTCTTGCTGTGCGATAGCATGCAGGCTGCGCAAATTGCACTCAGTCAGTTGGCGAACAGTGCCCATAAGTATGGTATGTGCTTTGCGCCGTCTAAAAGCAATGGACTGTCACAAGATTGATGTCACTTTTGTAGGTGGACCACTCGATGTTGTCGATAGATTTGTGTAGCTGTGTGAGTGCTGGTGACGGTATGATGGACGAGATTGCCAACAGTATCATGAAAACTAAAGTGGCATACGTCAACTTGAGTCATCCCTGGCGCCGTTGCGACATTGTTATG